AGCATCTCAAATGAGTTATTAAGGAACAGCAGTAAAGGAAAGCAGAAATCTGCCTTTCAGCTGGTGTGCTAGAGTTGGTATTGTTGATACTTTCCTAGAACAATACATTTCTATTCCTAGAAAGTGCATATAAGCTTATATGTTACATAAACACACTTACTTAAAGGGCACTTTTCCGGGAAGTACTGCTTTTGGATAGATTTTTAAATCAAGCAGGGCATGAGCCAAAAGCAGGTATTCCGTAACTTCCTTCTCTGTAGCCTGTGCATTTAGACTCCATTTCTTCTGCTTGTGACTAAGAGTCTCAGACACCCTGAGGAAAGAAGGTTCTCCTTGTTTAGCAAGAAAAAGCAGTCTGGAACAGGGTTTTCAGACTTTTATTACAGCTGCGGAATAAAGATGAGAAATCAGTGTTCCAAGTAAGTGCTTTTACAGTCACAGCAGAGTAGACTCTGTAGCGCATTATGCACTAAAAGGGGAAGAAATGTTAGGAAAAGCTAATAAGGTTAAGCATATTTCTCTTTTGGCTTTTCAGCAGAGAATCTTACTTCCTGTGCCGCATTATACTGGTCAGCTCTAGTATGCGCAGAACAATGCAGAACGTCAACTTAGATCCCCCCCCCCCTTTATTGTTTATACATTGGAATTTTTTGTTCCAGTTTTCTTACAGACCACTGTAGGCTACGTGTCTTCCTTAGGATTAAGTGTGCTATTGTCATTTGCATGGGTGAAGAAAATCTAACTCTGAATTTTGCATTTTTATTGAAAATATGAAAAAAAAATGGTTATGTTACTGTCCTCTGGGAAATAAGCTGCAGCATTTGAATAGTGCATAGAATTACATCTAAGATTGCAAGTCTGTGTGGGAGGAATGGCATAGCTACGCTTTAGAAAAATGACTTCATTTGAGAGTATTTTGTATTGCTTTTTTAATATTTGAACTACCACATTGCTATTTGCTTTTGACTGAGGATATTAGCTATAGAAATGAAGATTTTTACCAGTTGATCATAATATGCATTTAACTATCTAGTTTCCCAGTCTCTGTGCTATTTTAACTGCCTTGTGTATTTGCATTGGCCAATACATTTTTCTGTTGTCAAGAAAAATGTATCTGCTGATATTGTGTATGGCTTTATGCCAAAAAAGGGTATTTACTCCTTTTATTTAATGCGGGAAGACAAGTAGTCTTTTGCTTTTCACTCGTAGAATTCTGAAGCTTCTTTAGATGGTGTTATGGAGAAGTCTTACTGGTTTTGTCTCTACTTAAATGATCCATTAAATGCTGTCTGATGCTTGGGAGGAAAAATATTTTGAGATTGAAAACTGTAGATTTACTAAAAATAATATAAGCAGAGATGTCAAAAGAAGGATTAAGTGACTTAAACCTCCCCATTTTTAAAACATTCTGAAATAATAATTCCAGAGTGTTGACCAGTTTGTTAGCATTGTAGAGTTTTGCAGCTGACTTCTGGTTTTAATATATTTTTACAGAATAGCCAGTTTTAGGGAGATGTGAAAATTAGAATCCTAAAAGGTGTTCCCTAAGTGCAGGTTGTTTGGGTTTTTTTTTTTTTCATGTATTTTGGTGATTCCTAACACATTTTTTTGATAGATTTAAAATTTGAAGGGTAGTAGCTTATATCTGATTTTTTTTGTATGTGTGTATCTTATCGCTACTTAATTGGAATTAAAAGGATGCTCGCAAAAAAAAAAAAAAAATCAGTGTTGTGTCTATGTAAAAGCAGCTTGATCACAGATTCATAGACTAGTTGAGGTTGGAAGGGACCGCTCGAGGTCACCTGGTCCACCCCCCTTGCTCAGCAGGACCGCCTAGAGCTGGTTGCCCAGGACTCTCTGATGATGGTTTTTGGGCTTTGTGGATTATTTATTTGTTTTGATCCTTACAGGAACACTGGAGGTGCTCCTCGATGTGGTGCATTTACCCTCTACCATTTGTCTCTGCTTATCTTCACTTGCCAACTTTTCCTTTTTGCTTCTTCGAAAGAGGCCTTTTAAAGCCATCCTATGTAAAAGTTAACGTCTTCTATTTGCAGAGTGCCTATAATGTAATTATCTTTCTCAAGTTAAGGGGAAAGACCTAGTATGTGTTTGGAGCTTACTGGTATGGTTCTTCTATGTTGTGCATGTACGCAGTAATGTATGTACTGTTTTGAAGAAATCCCTTCCGTGAGATTGCTGCGTGCATGAGCCTGTGTGATGAGAGATCCCATTACTTTCAGATTAATATATGTTGCTTCAGTCACCTGGGGAATGTTGCTTCATTTCTGACTTTTTTTTTTTTTATGTATTGTTGTGTTATTCTGTTCATGTCTCACATCTGTAAATTCCAACTGTCCTGTCCCGTCTTCTCCATTGACCTTGGAATTGAAGCTGAGCCATAAGTCTTAGTTGTCTCCTAAGAAATGTAACTTACACAGTTGTACTGTCTGAGATTCCTAGTAACCTTTGAACCTCTTGGCCAATTTCAAACAAAATTGAGACATGATTGTTTCAAGTTGCTGTATATTTTATGAAAACGAGCGGCCCATTTAAAGGCAAGTGATCTTATATCTCTTCAACAAGAAAGACTGAAGTATGAGCTCAACTACTATTGAACATCAGAGAACTGGGGCAGGGAAGGTGTTAAAAGTGCTCTAGTGGAAGAAAGAACCCTAATATTAGTGTTTACCTTTTATTTGATACAAGAAATCCAATTAGAAAGCAAAATCCTAAAAAGTCAGGCTTTATCCTTCCTCTTCAGTTTGTTGCTTCTTTTGAGATGCTAAGAGTTAGTAAAGTAATTCTTCCCTTGTCTGCTTTTATGCAAGAATTAGCAACAGCTAAGAAAAATATTTGGTGGTAGTGTTTCTTTCTGGTAGGCATGTGCTGTGTTCAGGAATAAGGGACTCGCAATATGAAGCGCCAGGGCAGTTCGCATTTTCTCTCTGTCTTCAGTGACATTGAGGGGAGGGTGCTATCATGGATACTGGCGAGGAAGTGATTGGGTTGTCAGATTTGTTCTCTTGCTGCTGCTTTTACTTTCAAGAATTTGAATTTTGTCATAAGGCCTTAATTTTCATGAACGCTCCCGGCATTAACTCTGTTGTGCACAGAACCTGTCAGGCTTCAACAGCGTGGGAGCGGTGCTAGTTCCATGAGGTGGGGCTACAAACACCCACTCACCATTTTAGTTTTGCATAGACAAAGAGTATCTCCAGTTTTGTTTTCCGGGATGTGTGCTGATGAATTAAGGAGAGGAGATGATTATCTGTGGTGGAGTCTAATAAAACACATTCCAGTTAAAATGGCAGCAGTAAGGATGTGGTGCTTGAGGAAGTGGGAGTAACGTGGTAACTGCTCTCTGAAGTTGTGAAACCTGGGCCAACCTAGAGTCGCTTCTGTGTCCATATACTGCTGTAAAGTTCTATAATTTTGAAAGTTAGCAGGGTTTAAAATGCATTGATGTTGGTGTTATTTAGCTTTTTATGTAGGTTACCAGTACCAAAACATTATTAACTTTAATTGTTATAGGAAGTTCAGAGTTAAATGCACAAATAACTGAGCGAATGTTGCAGTGTAATTTAAGGTGGGATAAAGTGCAAAAAAAATGGTTGAACCAGTTCTAGTAGCTGACTAGTGCCAAAAAGGGAAGATATTACTCTTCTTCCCTGTTCTGCTTGTGTGTGATGTCCTGCCCTCTGCATCAGCTCGGTTCTTGTGCCATACCCCTTGCTGTGTCAAGTCAGGAGTCAGCTCACTGATAAGCAGAAAGCTCTCTGGTTTTGAGGCTTTGTGTGTGCTGGGGAGTGGTGGTGGTTTTTTTCTTCCCCCCCTTTTAGTTTTCTGTCAGGTTTATGAGTTGAATTGGCTTTCTAGAGCAGTCCAGTGAGCCCCAGAAATGGCTCAAAGTAGGCAGCAGGAGCTCAGACCCCAGAATGAGGACAGAGAGGCAGAATGGAGTGCGCTGTTGCCCTTTGACTAGTGATAAATTGTTGGATTGGTTCAAGCTGCCTTGTGCAACTTCACCCTACCTAAACCCAAGGAAGCTGAGCAAGATTTTGAGTAATTCCTGGATTTTAAATAGTTTTTGATATAGAATTTTATTGAATATTTATCTTCTGTAACTTTAATAGGGTAGGATCCTGCTAGTCTTTAATTTCTTTTTGGCTTATTTACAGTTTGATGATAGCTTGCATGTAAGTAACACTGCATCTGCAAACGTTCAAATGCTTAATAAGCAATTAAGCTTCACTAAACCCAGTGTACAGAATATTATTTATTGTGACCTGATCTTGTCAGTGCTTCCTATTGCCTTAGTATTTTGCACTTTATAAATCTCATCACCTAATTAATCCCTATAGTAAGAAGGAGGGCGGGGGGAAGGGACTATGTTGTTACAGGAGAAATGAAACACACAAACTTAAATAGCATCTCTGAAAATGTTCAGTTTCCTAGAAATAACTTTTGAGTAAATTGACATGTATTTTTAAAGAGACTAAAATTTTTTTAGGTTATACCTTGTACAGATGTACTGGAGCTTGTTTCTGAAGTTAAGGAAGTTCTGCTTCCTTTCTGAAACCTTTGATATTCAAGAGTGGATGTTTTATTGCTCCTCTGAGATAAATTCTTTAGAACGATTGAGGGGGGGAGAGGAAGAAAACCATGACAACCTTTTTAGCGTTGCATATTCATTATCTGACCACTGAGTAGGTTGGAGTGAGGAATCACTTTGGCAGTGTCGCATAGTTATTCTTGTTCATTACCCTTTCTTTAAAATACGACTATTTGGGGGGGAGAAATATTTAAAGCTTGTGTTTTAAGTTGTTTCTTAAATTGATTTTTCAGCTGATGAGAAAGCAAAAAGGATGGTGAAGACTTCTAAGTCTTAATGAAAGCAATCTCAGTTAGGATTTATCTGGTCAGGAAGGGCTTGTGATATGTTATTAGAAATAACAATTTATTTTTATTTTTATTTATTTATTTTCTCTTCCCCCCAGGTGATTCATGGCAGGGGACGTGGAAGGGTTTAGCTCCTCCATCCATGACACCAGTGTCTCTGCTGGATTCAGAGCACTGTATGAGGAGGGATTGCTTCTTGATGTCACACTTGTCATTGAAGACCACCAATTTCAGGCACATAAAGCACTGCTTGCCACCCAGAGTGATTACTTCAGGATTATGTTCACAGCTGATATGCGAGAACGAGATCAGGACAAAATCCATTTGAAAGGTCTGACAGCTACAGGCTTCAGTCATGTCCTCCAATTCATGTACTATGGAACTATTGAACTGAGTATGAACACTGTTCATGAAATCCTTCAGGCTGCCATGTATGTCCAGCTTATAGAGGTGGTAAAATTTTGCTGCTCTTTTCTCTTAGCTAAAATCTGCTTAGAAAACTGTGCAGAAATTATGAGACTTCTGGATGATTTTGGTGTAAACATCGAAGGAGTTAGGGAAAAACTGGACTCCTTTCTGCTAGAGAATTTTGTGCCACTCATGTCCAGACCTGACTTCCTTTCATATCTGAGCTTTGAGAAGCTCATGTCTTATTTGGATAATGATCATCTGAGCAGGTTTCCAGAGATAGAGCTGTATGAAGCTGTTCAGGCCTGGCTGCGCCATGATAGAAGACGCTGGCGGCATACGGACACCATCATTCAGAACATCAGGTTTTGTTTGATGACACCATCCAGTGTTTTTGAGAAGGTTGGTGCATTTGAAAAGCAATAGACAGGATTCATCATTTAGCTAGGGCAGCATGCCATTAAATAGGTAAGATTCCCAAACCTATTAGGAGGAACAAAAAGATAGCATTTATTTTTCTAATAAACCTGTAGAAGACAAAAATCTAAACGTATTGTTATCTGATTATTAGACAATAGTATGTACAGTGGCTGGAGAACAGGTAGGTTTACAATACATGTTTTTAAGTGACTTCATATGGAAAGGACATTTTAAAATAAGGTCACTTGTATCAAGTTTTATTTCAATTGTTCTTACTGTTTTCCACAAGTTGCTGCTTGTTTTCCAGAGATTTTAGAGCTGCGTGCAGTATGTAGGGCATATGTCATGATAATTGTTGTCAATATAATCAAAACATAGTGACTGTAGATTTTATGTGTTTTAGGTGCAGATTTTTTTTTTTATTTACAAATGAAAACTAGCATCTGCTGTTAAATCTGCAGGGTGTTTTTGTTGTTGTTGTATCCTCAGTGCTTGTGCTGTTACACAGCAGTTGGAAGTAAGCCCTGATCCTGCAAAGTTGCACACACATTTGGTTCTACAGAAAGCATATAATACAATCAGAAGTTATTGACGGTGTGAAATGTAATAATTTACTTTAAGTATCAGAGGAATATTTGTAACAGGTGATCTAAAATTCAACTGATCATTGTATGTATTAAGAGGTTACAAGATAACTTGTTTTTTTCTACTATTCTGTTGAAGAATAGACAAAAAATGTTGTTTTCTAGATCCTGAGAATCTCTGAGTATTTGTCAACAGTAGAGAATTACAAAACTTTGTAAGCAGCTCTCTCACAGGCTAGTAACAGTAAGGGTATTCAGCTTAGGAATTACGTAAACTGTGCTGTTTTGTTTTAACAATGTTAATTTTGTGTGATAAGATGAAACTTTTAACTTGTGTATTTTTCACCTCTCAGTGAATTAATAGGATTTAAGACCTTGTGTTTTTGTTGGACTTCTTACAAATTTATTTCCTATATTTTTTTACTTTGGTATCTAGTGAATATACAGATAAGGTTGTGTTGTTCTTGGTGGTTTGAAGGGCTACTGGATCATTTAAGCATTAATGCTTACACTTACTTGCATTTTAAAGTATAAAAGCTATTAATTACTTCAGAGACTAGTGAGTTTTTATATTTTGGATTTGTTTTGTGTGTGTGAATTGAGTAGAGGAAGTAATAATACATAAAATATATTTATGATCCTATATTAGCCTGTAGACATAAACAAAACAAATACCTAAACATATTTTGGAACAGTAATGTAATGTTTATATTGGGTTACAACATTTCCAACTAGTAAGAGCTGAACTCTGCAAGATACTATGTAGTGTCGAGTTTTTAATAATGCTTTTACCTTATTATTACATCAGTTAAGCCGCTCAGTAGGAAAACTGATAGGATTCACAGAGTATTTTTAAGGTAAATCTAATAGGGTAAGACTCATCCGAAAGAGTCTGCTTCAGCTCTTCGAGTTTTTGGGATACAAGTTCAAGCATCAAGCTGTCTTCAGTTAAATTTCTGTAAGCGCCAGTGAAAAGTATATGCTGGTCTTCAGCATTGTATTTAGGTATAACTTCTGAAGCTGGTTTTGGTATCAGTGGTATAAATCCTGCATACAGTGCTTCTCGTGTTTTTATCTTGACAGCTACCAAACGGCCAGATAGGTACAACTTAAGGAGAGAAGTAATTTTCAGCATCCCAGTTTATATCCCCACGTGTAAAAGCTGTATCTGTGAATACCCTTTCCATTAATTGTATGTGGGAACAGAGAGAAGCCAGTGCAGATTCTGAAGTGGGACAACTCAGCAGAGGGAAGCACAGCTAAAGAAGGATGTCACTTGTTGCCGCAGCTAGGAATGTATTTGTGTTTTGCCCTGGCTAGAGAGCATCAAGTAATCCAGCATGACAAGTGACAAAGGACAACTGCAGTTGGAGCTAACATCAAAATACAGGCCACACTTTTTTTTTTTTTTTTTTTTTTAAATAAAAAGAGCATGTCTGTTAACTGTTCTGGAAGTAACCTGAGGAGAACTCTCTTCTGTGTGTAGAGGGGGGAAAATATTGATAAAATTGCTTTTTTTTTGGAGATCTGCAAACAGAATTCACCCTTTTCCTGAAGCCAGCACATACTAAATGCCTGCGTGAATGTACCAAATACAGTCTGAGGTTGACTCGTATGGTTCAGCGAGCTCTGTATTCGCTATACACTGGCTGGCTTGTCATACCTACTCTTATGTAATCTTTCTAATACACATTTCTAAGATGCCCGTCATTACAGTGTATAAATAACTTAACTTTGCAAGTCACAGTAAGGATACTTTTGTCCTCTTAGGCCATTCTATTTCTTACATCATTTTTTGGAAGAGATTTACAATCTGAGTGGGATTGCTTGTCCTTTTTAAAAGGAATTTACGAGCGACTCTAGATTTATACCTTGAGGCTGATGTGCATTTGGAGTGAAGGTGCAGCCTGTTTGCTTACTCTAAACTGTCCTGGAAGAACTGCTTCTGAAGTATGAATAGATACTCCTTTTGTTCCTCAGCCCTTAAAATAGATGTAGATGTATGAGGGAAAATAGAAAGTTAAATGAAGTAAGGATTTGGGGAATAGTTAGAAAATAAAGGCAAAGTATATGGGGAGAAGCACAAGTTCCACTATCCATGCTACACTTTTCTTTATTTGAAAGATATCCATGGCTCTGTAAGTCTTGAGGAAGGTTGGAGATGAAAGTTAGAGGGCATTTTTCCTAGATCATTGAGTTCATCTCTGTGTTACTGGAGGAACCATGCCATGATTTCCCTTCATAGACTGTTTAAGCTCCATTTAGTTTCTGTGTACTACTCAGATTGAAATGTTGTTTCAAAACCTCTGCCCTTAAAATCAAAAGGGTTTTTTTGATGTCCAGTCTGTAGGGCTTGTTATGACTAGCCCATGCTGATTTATAAGTTCCCAGCTTAAATCAGAAACTTACTAATCACTAGGTGCATCAGCCTCTCCTATAGAGGTACGATGAATAGCACATTATCTTTGAGTATGTGCTTTCCTGTGCCTAGAAAATAGTAACTTTTGAGAAGATGTCATTGTAATTTTATGTCACTGTGACTTTACCTTTGATAAATGTGTTGAATTTATCTTTTTTTTTTTTTCCTCATTTACTTCCATGTCTAGTAATTCATATGTATCTACATCTACAACTTCATATGCTGAAGCTTAGAGTAAGAAGTGTCTAGTGGATAAGGTTGGTGAACCCCTCTTATGTTAAATAGGTGCTGCACTTGATATTTTTATGTCTAAAGGTTATTGCTGACTTGGATAGATGTGCTAGCAGTATTTATTATGTGCTGAGCATCTCAATTCTGGCATATAGATTGTTGGCTCCACCCTGATTTGGGAGATTAGATTCGAGGTAGATTCCTGCTTGATTGTGATAATTTGTCTTACCAGTTTCTAAAAAGAAACAGCAAAATACTCAAATTGAGGGCATGGTCTTTGCTGCACAGAGGCTATGTCGTTTTGTCTTTCTATGGTAAGGCTGAAAAACAGTAAGTGATTTGTAGGACTTGCAGAATAGCTCTTCAAAGCCCTATACTGGTACTGACCAGTTTTTGTACTGGCCATGGGATGTAACTAAGTAATGACCCATGCTAGAAAAAGGGAAAGTTAAGTAGAGCAGCTTGTCCAATGCTATGTATACTGATGTTTGGTCGCGAAGTAATTTTGGTTGCTGATACTTTACAGACATACATGTGACTACTTCCTATTTGACTGAATTTTGATTTGGAAGAAGTGTGTTAACATTTTGATTGTGTTTGTTGACAGGCATATAGTTGTGCTTAGAATATGGCCAGAGATAAGTAGATGTGAAAATAATAAGGATTGTAGTTTTGATTCAGCTTAATCTCTAGTAAAATAGCAATTTTTTTTGCAAGTAAAAGGAAGTATTTGCTCTCTAGAAGTCTGATACAGATGCCATCATTATTCATTGAAAAGGTGTAGCATACCTTCTGTATTCCTAGTAGTTGAGTTTGAGTTGCATCACTTACACATTCAGAATTGGCAGTTTTAGAAAACTTAAGTAAGCATAATTTTATAACCTTTGAAATAGTTCTCTGCTTATGTGGCTAGAGATGATAGAGTCACATCATGAGCCATCCAGATTTTTCTGTGGTTTTTTACCAGTTCTACAGAAGGAACCAAGCTAATACCTACTCCATATAATAACATGTTAAGATTCAGTTACCAGGTGTACAAATAATAGATGTTTAGTTTGGGTACTTCAAAAGTAGCCTTTCTTTATGGTTTTGAAAGCTTTTTCCTAAAAGCTGAAGTAACAAAACTTCAAATAGAGCAATAGCTGTAAATGGGGGGGTGGCAGGAGGGGGAGAGGAAGCTATATACCAAAGTCAGACTTGTGCTACAGAACATTTATCTTGCATTTCATTGCTTTTCCTGCAGCTTATTAATTTCCTTAATTGTTTTAAGGTGGGGGGGAAAGATGATGAACATAACATGGGATACATCTGGTCTTTTGTAGGGATCAATTTTCAAATTAGAAACTAATGGCTTCCATTTTTGGCTTTACTTTTTCATAGAATATAGATGGAAAATTCTGAAACTTGCATAGCTGCTGCAACTAGAAAAGCATGCATTGCAATACAGCAGAAAAATAGGGAACGATTAATAGCTGCATTAATTTGGAAGGCCAGCAGGTTTTACTGAGTGTTTCACTGATTCAAAATGAAGAAGAGAAAATGCATTCAAGCTCCAATTTACTATGGCTGAAGGGATGGTGGTGGTTTTGGTGAAGTCTTGATGTTTTTGGTATTGACTACCTAGGGGGTGAGTATCGAGGTGGATGTTGTTAATTATTTCCCTCATCGTCTTTTTTTTATGGAATGACACATTTGATTTTGTTTATGCTGTTCCTTGTCTGTGTAGCTAAAAGTCCAACTGTGAACCACTGTAACTGGTAGATGATGCAATGAGATAATTCTCATTAGAGTTCTTCGAGGAGCTCTTACATTAGTGCTATGCCCCAGCAGAACCTCTGTAAGAAGGTTTTGTCCAGAAAACCGAAGAGAAAGAATTGGAAAGAATGTAAAAAATCACATGAGCAAAGCTTTAGCACTTGGAATAAATTCCTTTTTTGCAATAAGACTGGGGTTGGTAAGGAAGTCCACCCTAAACTTTGAGACCCTTCAGCAAGATAATAGAACAGTCTTTCTTTAAACTTGGACAATGCTATGATGCATTTATATTTTTTTTATCAATTCAGAGTTGATGTACTCTTAAGAATGCACATTTGTTTTACTTCAAGGTTCATCAGGGTTAGTGTACATTTCCATCTGTTTTGGATGTTTTGCAGAAACTTGTGAGCGTTCTCTCTAATTGAGTATGTTGCTAATTAGGGGCATGTTTCTTCTAGAGCTTCTCCATTTAAACTTAACAGGAAAATCAGTCTGTTGGTAAGCACTTAGATATTTGTTGATCAACTACTTGTTGCTACTTGGGGGTAATGGCAGAAGCCTACTTTTGAACGCTGAGGGATTTATTTCAGCGTATTTTGGGTGTCAGACAGCAACTCCCACAAAAGGCTTGCTGAAGGCCATGTTCTTTAATCTACTAAAACTAAAATGTAGGCACAACTTAGTTGTGTTTTAATACCTAAACACCTAAATTTTAATGCTTCTCTTTTTTGATTATACACACAAGTAATTAAAAGTATTGTAAAGTTATTCAGAAGTGTAGGTGTTTGGAGTGTTTTCCTTACTATGTGCTGAATAGGACTTTCAAATAATTCTGCAAGATTTCACGCAGGCAGTGTGTGAATGTGAAAGTGAGCAAACTGACCTACATTTGCTTTGTCTTCATTTGCATCAAGCAAGCGCGAGCAGTCTGTACTTTCATATAGGCATATCCTAACGTTCATCTTAGACCATCATTTGAGCCTCAGGAGAGGTACCGCTCCTGTATGGCAGAGCTTGTGCTAGTGAAAGGTGGAAGGCTAGAAACACTGATATTTTTCCTCAACAGCAAAGTCTAGGAAGTCTCCAACTACCTTTTCTTACCAGAATTTAGATAGTCTATCACTGTTTTGTGGTGGTTTTTTTTTTTTTTTTCCTGAATATTGTAAGAATTGCTAGTGCTTATGTATATTTTCATGTTCATCTCTTCAAGATTGTTTTGTAGATAGCTTCCCCACGAATGTCAGTCTGAAAGAGTTGTTTATAACTGGTAGTTGCATTTGCCTCTTGATGTCTTTCAGTTGAGGCTTTGCTTTGATGTTAGTACCTTTGTCAAGATAAGTAGTACTAAACTGCTAATAGATTGATTCCCTGGTCTTGAGATTCTGTCTCTAGAATTAGAGATACTCCTTGTTTCCTTTTGCATGCTCTCATGGGGTGAGATTTAGGTTATGTGAAGGAGTAGAGTGGTGAGCGTATATGAGGCTTATTTTAATTCCAGTTTCTGGCTGACATTTCAATTTCTAGATCTAAAGACAGAGTTGTAAATGTTGAGGGGGAAAGAAAAACGTTTTCCATCTCTGCCAGGCTTTGCTGGCATGCTTCACGTTGTTGCATGTTGATCCTGTTGTCTTCCATAATCATCCAAGAAAACTCGACATGCATATAGGTGGAACAAATTCCAAAAATGATAGCTCCAGTTTGGGAATGCATGAAATAGTTGTGCTGGTTTAGAATTTGAAAGTAACTTTTAAGGATAAAGTAACTCACCCCCAATTCTTTGTTATTTTAACTTCCTGTTTCATTTTTTGTAACCTTTAAGGCTTTCTATATTTTACCATTATTCTGTGCTGTGGTTCTCCTCACCACCCCTCCCCCAGCATATTTTCTGGAGTTTATGTTCAATCTTTTCAGTCAGGCAAGGCATATGGTTTATTCTAACAAATGCCATATGAGCAGATCTCCTGTGTTTGTATGATATATTCTTCATTTGCAATAAGAAAATAGGTCTGTTATTCCCCAGAAGAGTTGGGCTTACTGTAGGTGTTTTGTAAGCACTATACCTCAGTAAACCTTTTTGCTCCATAGTCACCCCGGTAAAAACAGTAGAAAGAAGTTGGATATTGCCCTGAGAATAAGATATGCAGTCTGCATGTGACCATTCTTTTTTTTCCAAGCAAAGATAAGCTGAACTTGTCAAAATAAAGTGGGGGAAAGAAAAAGTGTAAAAACATCAAATCACTGTAACTCTTGAGCTATACAGTACTTTACAATGGTATGTTAGTATTCAGGGTTTTTTGAAAATCTGGTGTATAAAACAATCTCAAAATCTGTGCAAATCGTGTCCAATAATAACAGTTCAAAAGATTTTTAAAAAATGTTTATCTGACAGCAGAATGTCTTAATTACTATACAAGAAAGAGAAATGGTTAACAGAAAGCTAACAGAATTTTAATAGTACTTGTTTATGGAACAAGCAACTACTTTATTCACAAAGTATAAAGAACATTAGTTTCTAAATTGCTTTTCATATACATGAAAACTCAAACCACCACCCCTTAGGTAAGTGGTGACACAGGCTTTTGTCTCTTGGGACAGGGAATAGGAGGAGATGGGGGAACAGATACTGAAAAATAGTAGCTTCTGGTGTTACCTTGTGGTCTCTTTAAATTTCAGAGTGGCCTCTCGTTTTTTTGGAGCTGGTGGGAACTAAAGGCATTCAGGGTGTTTGAAAGCAATCCAGTTTTATGTGAAAGAAACTGGGACCTAGGATCAAATCTGATAGAGGATTTGTGGATTTGGCAATATCTAGCAGGTTTTTATTTGTTTTAGAAGTGTAGTTGAGAATGCTGTGTTAGACCAGACTGTACAGGAAAAGTGAAGTGTCTTTGAAGAGAATCACATGGTGACCCGAGGGCTGCCTAGAGCTAGATTTATTAAAATATTTGAGACAGGGATGTGTTTTGGAATTGTCTCAAGACCAGTCTCAGGAACTTAAAATGGCTTGGATAGTAGGAAGAGTCCTGGAAAGGTAAATTCTTACAGTCTTCCCCTCCCTCCCCCCAACTCCAATAAAACTGAGCAGGGACAGCTCTTTTCAAATTGAGATAGCACCTATTGTACTATGTGGTAATTCAAAGGTTGTAACTCTCTGGGAAGTGGAAGTTTAAACCTACCTCTGCAATTTACCAAATAAATGTGCAAGCAAAGGATTGAGATGTTTTCCTCTTGTGTTAAAGGCATGCATTAACATGTGAAGACTGACAGAGGGGAAGCCATAAGGTAACCACCATGACGAGTGGTTAGTGCGATCACATGTTCTGAAGGAAGGGGTTTGGGTACCTTCCCTTTCCACTCTGCCCCAATTAAATAGCCCTGTGAGCTGAGCCTAGCATTTGGGAATACCTGCTTGGGCTTGTTTGTGAGAGTTCAGCGGAAATTAGACTAGGGTAGGCCTTGGTAAACACAGAATGGGTCTGTAGAATGTTTTTCAAAATCAGGAAAATAGTGCATTTTTAATTTAAGTGCTTCAAGGATTAGGCAGAAGATGAACAGAGGCTTTTTTGGGTAGAAGGAATAATGATTTTTAGACTTGGGGATTTCAGTTGTGCCAAATTCCAGTTTAAATTCTTCATGTGAGTATTCTGCTGAAAATGTTAGTCACTGCTGTTAATTGCTAAATTGCCTTCTGGATTTTGGATACCAGTACATTAGCTTAACCCTCCATGCAATTGCTCTCAAGATTACCTGAATGAAACTAAGTAAAATAACCATAGTCATTTAGGTTTTCTGGATTGTTTCTCTTGGTCAGAATTTTAATATCTTTTAAATGTATTCATAGGTAAAAACATCAGAATTTTATCGATACTCCCGGCAGCTGCGACATGAGGTTGACCAAGCCATGAATTACTTTCATAGCGTTCACCAACAGCCTTTGATGGAAATGAAATCGAACAAAATTCGTTCTGCCAAACCCCAGACTGCAGTATTTAGAGGAATGATAGGACACAGTATGGTAAACAGTAAAATTCTTCTCTTGCACAAACCAAGGGTCTGGTGGGAACTAGAGGGCCCTCAAGTACCTTTACGACCAGACTGCCTTGCCATTGTGAATAACTTTGTGTTCCTATTAGGTGGGGAAGAACTGGGGCCAGATGGTGAGTTTCATGCTTCATCCAAAGTGTTTAGATATGACCCAAGACAGAACACTTGGTTACGAATGGCAGACATGTCTGTTCCACGTTCTGAGTTTGCTGTTGGCGTTATTGGGAGGTATGTTTATGCAGTGGCCGGGAGAACCAGGGATGAAACGTTTTACTCAACTGAACGGTATGATATTACCGAAGATAAATGGGAATTTGTGGATCCCTATCCAGTCAATAAGTATGGACATGAAGGGACTGTGCTTGGTAACAAGTTGTATATCACTGGTGGAATTACATCGTCTTCAACTTCTAAGCAAGTGTGTGTGTTTGATCCCAGTAAAGAAGGGACAGTAGAGCAGCGAACAAGGAGAACTCAAGTGGTCACTAACTGTTGGGAGAACAAATGCAAAATGAATTATGCAAGATGCTTTCACAAAATGATTTCTTATAATGGTAAGCTTTATGTCTTTGGTGGTGTCTGTGTGATCCTAAGGGCCTCCTTTGAATCTCAAGGATGTCCTTCTACAGAGGTTTATGACCCAGATACTGATCAATGGACTATATTGGCTTCTATGCCAATTGGTAGGAGTGGTCATGGTGTAGCTGTTCTGGACAAACAGATAATGGTTCTTGGAGGCCTTTGTTACAATGGTCATTACAGTGATTCAATTCTCACCTTTGATCCAGAGGAAAACAAATGGAAAGAAGATGAATATCCGAGGATGCCATGCAAGCTGGATGGCTTACAAGTCTGCAGCTTGCACTTTCCTGAATATGTTTTGGAGCATGTTAGACGTTGCAGCTAAAACAGAATGAACAACTCAATGAAATACAAAAAGCTAAACCTAATTTGTCAAAAAATACAAACCAGTTGAATTCCGTCAGAGACATTGCCTTGTGTATAAGAACAACTGCTAAATGCTTAAGAGAAACAGGATGTACAGGGAGAGTACTTACCAAGTTTATTAGAAAAGCCAGTAGTTGGTCTGATATTGTAAAAGCTTTGGTTTTTTTTAACAAACATAATTGTAAGTAGGGGAAAGAAAAATATATTTTTGAGTGTGGTTATTTTTTTGGTAACATTTTATGTCCATAATATTTTCTTCTCGCTCTCTCTTTTTTTTTTTTTTGTTTTTTTTTTAATGACCGTTATACCACTATGCTTCTGAAATCAGTTGAGTTTAACAAAATATTTGTGGAAGGAAGAAAGACTTTATTTTCATTTTTTTATTGAGCATCAAAATAAAGCTCATCATTTGTACTACGGTACAACCAGGTTTAAAAGAACAAAACTAAAATATTTCTGTATTTTATGTTGTCTTTTGCATGCTTTTCCCATTAATTGCGAAGTATTCTCAAATCTGCTAGGCATTATTTTTTTCTTTTATATACATTGAAGAATAATCTTAACCCCTTTGCATGACTTTTTTCCTGGTTTTGTATAGTAGTACCAGTAAGTCTGCCAAAATGCAAATTACACATTTTCTACTACAATGAAAACGAAATGTTTTTATATTCAAAACACTATTTCTATGCTGCCTTCTATTGTCTGCATTGTGTTTGTTGGTGAGTAAAAAATACATACACACACATGCATACACTGTAAAAGCTATATATAAATACATCTTTTTATGTGCGGCTACAATATTATATTTTAACTAGTGCACAGATTCAGCCATATCTGTTGAATTTAAGGTATAGTACTATCCTTTAATGAGCTAAATAATTTGAAGTTCTTAAGTAACTGGAGGCCTCGTTTGGTATTGAAGTATCTTATCTTTAGTATATACTGATTGATTCAGTAACTTTAAACTCTTTATATCAATGCTACATAATGAACTGTTGATAATTTGTTATTTTATAAATTATTTTTTAAAAAGTAAACACATTTTACCTGAGTTTCTTTTATGTTTGAATGTACTGCCCAGTCTTCTTTTTTTAGGAAAATGGAAAATGTCAATAAGCAAATGCTCAGCACTGCTTTGACCCACAGTTATTTTCGGAACTGGATAAACTACAGTGTCTTCTCAGTACTTTACTTGTACTTCAGTATGAGTATTTTGTTTGTACTCATATTGAAGTGGTATAATATTTTTTTATTATTGTTTTAATTATCGACTGCTATGAACTACTGTGTTTTGAAAATGTGCAGTTTGGTGGTTGGATGGTTAGTACCATTTATATTTCCTTTACAAAAAAATCTACACAACTATAGCTACTGACCTAGGAGTGCCTGAATCGAGATGTGTGGTCCAAGAGGGCTTCGACCAGAGCTCCGTTCTGTTAACTTGCAGATATTACTGACAGTAGATTGGTAAGAATTATCTGCCAAGACATAAATAATAACAGTAATTACATTCTGATTATATTTAATGATGTGAAATTAGCCACTTCTAGAATCTAAAGGAGAGATTTGGAGAAGTTGAAGGCTCACACTCTAGTTCAGATATGTAGGGGCAAAATGCTGAAACATGCACCTGCATATTTTGTAAAATCTTACACTGCTGTGTTTCACTTTAAGCAACAGACTTGACTTTATATGCAGCAATGCAAAACCACTTTATTCAGCATCTTCCAGTCAGAAATCACTGTAGAAAAGGAATGTACAGTACTCAGGGAGTTCAAAAGAATGCACTTACAAAGGGACCAAAATCACCCTAAATTTCCTATGTTAAAAATAACACCTACTTGCCTAAACTAAGCTTGAAATAATTGATAAAAGTTAAAACAACATGTACAACTCCTCATACTTGTATTCTGGTATTTTTGTAGTAATTACGTTCTGGGTTGAGATGTGAGGATTTGGAGCTATATGGCAAGTCGGCAGATCTTTTTTTTTTTAATTAGAAATGATTTATTGATAGAGTATTTTCTTTCCATATGTTTTAACAGAAAGAAAGAATGTACGCCATCGTAGCTGTAGTGATAAGTTACTTAGACCAGTAGTGACTGGACCGAATACTGACTCAAGCCTTCTGATGCAGACTAGTTTGCAGTTTAAGTATTTTTTAATTAAAATTCAGTTTACTGAATTAGAAATCTAATTTGCTTTCTTAATAGCTTAAGTTAAAGCCAGCATGGCTTACACTAAAACCTCAGTTTCACTGTGAGAATTGTGTGTACATCACCCTGCATGGTTGCCAAGATAAACTGACTCCAGTAGGTGCTGGCTATGTGCAAGTAAAAAGGTTCTACTGTACATAGTTCATGGAATATTGGGGCACAAGAGAAAAAACAAGTTTTTTTTAAAATGTTTTATTCTTTTTCTCACCAGCTCATTTCTCAATAAGTTTATGCGGCAGCAAAAACTAATCCTACTTGAGAAGGCTTTCATGGGCATGTTACCTATAGTACGGAGTACTTCACTTTTATCTAGGGCCAGTCTGGGGAATGGATGTGGTGCTGGATATCTGGTCTTCCATGATTCAGGTGTAGTAGAGAGACATGGACAAGACTTTATTAAAAATAATGGTAAGGGGTGGGGGTGTCTCAAGTTACGTTTTTGAGTCTGCATTTAAGCACCTTCTGAAGTTCTGTGTGCTCAGCAACTGCCACTAAAGTCATTGGTGAGTATTGACACTTGAAACATGAAGAACCAGATCATTTTTAGGTGCTCTGCTTTTAAGTTCATATTTAGCTTCAGACACCCAGTTCTGAAAGATGTTGTTCAGGACCATAATAGTAATTATTCTGTGAAATTCTAACTTGAACTGTTGGTTGCAGCTTCCCTGAAGTTGTGTCTCTGTTGAGAAGCTGGCTGTAACCTTTCAAGCATTAGGAATGATTGGAATTTGCTTGGGTTTAGAACATGTGGGGGTATGTGAGAATGTTTTGTTAATTTACATTTCTACCGTGCTTTTATTGTTTCAAACATGAAATTTAACATTAGCCTACATTCTCTTCTCCATTGCAGTGGAACTTTGGAGGCAGTTATTTTTGTTACTTTATATATCAGAGGGATATTTTCTTTTTTTTTTTAATTGAAAGCTTCTGTTTGTGTTTGCTTTTAGTATTTAGCTCCAGATAATTTAGTGTTTAAATAAAAGCAAAACTAAACTGGCTAATAAGAATTGCCTATGACTATAAAATTTTGAGCATTATGATCAGATTAATATGAGTTTTAAAAACATTTAAATTCCTCTCATTTGTCAAGGAAGAGGTAAGTTATGATCTTTGATGAGTAAGTTTGGGGGGGGGTTCTTCTTCTATTCCCACCCCAACCATAATGGAATACCAGCAAATCTGACCTCACCACGTATTTAAAATTTAACACATGACCTGCTTTTAAACAGCAAGTGTACTTGCCTTTTCTTTAAAAGGTGGACATAGTGAGTTACAGTCCAGGTTTTTTTTTTTCACATGTATAGCAAAAATGTATCAGCTTCATGTCTTAATTTAGCAACTAGCTCCAGGAGGAAATTTTGTTTTCAAATGAGCCAGAATGGACAAGAAAGCATAGTGCTTCTGTAAAGAGGTTGGATGCTGCCAGTTCACATTCTGCATGCTGTTACATCTGTTTTTAGGGGACAGATAATTTTTTTTCAAAGTGCTGCATAAGGAAAAAATCGCTCATTTTTCCCCACGAAGTGTTGGTAGTACTTTCATAGTGGGAGGTATTAGGTGGCAAAAAAACCTTCTGAATTTTTTTCCCTGTTGATTCAGCTGAAGGAAAGCAGTACTTGATTTTACAAAGGCTCTGCTATTTCAGAAAGCACTGCTAGCAAGAGGGGCTAGTGGCAGCATACGAGCTACCTGGCAACCTGCTTTTATGTTACTGTCTTTTGAAAAGTGTGGATGCCCTACTTTCTGCAGTATGATAGCAGTCCTGTTATAACTAGCTCTAAGGGTTTGTGACTTTAATGTTTCTCTGGTTTCTGAGATTTGCAGACGTTTTTTCTTGAGGACCTCCTACCTTACAAACCCCAGTGCTGTGGTTTTTTTCATGCTGGTAATACAATAACTATTTGCATCGGGGACGAAGCTTCCCTTGACACTCAGGAAGCAAAGGATAAAATTCAGCAGGTACAAATTCAGATCGGTTTAAAAAGAAAAACATTGCTTAATTCATTATGTCCATTCTTTTGCAAAAGGAGGGTAAGCATTATGGGGAGATGCTAATGGCTCTTTAAAAAGAAACTTCAAATTTCTGTCAGTATTTATATGACAAAGTCTTTTTAGAAATAGTCGCATTTGTACAGGTATTTTACCTTTTTGATATTTTTCCTTACCAGAAAAAAAAAAAGGTAGTGAATTGGGCCCTTGATTCTTTTAACACTTCAAATGTGTACTTCACATATGTAAACAGTCCAATATAAAGAAAACAGAAAACTGTAAGGTACTTAAAAGAAAACATAAAAGTGCAAATGTTATTAAACCTGTTCTTAAGTGTTTATAGGGTTGAGGGCATCAAAGAAAACATCCGTCCTGCTCTCTTTCCATTAATAAAAATATAGCTGGTGAAGTTACTGGAATAAGTGTGGTCCATCATATGTGGCAGGGCTCACTGAAGGAGAGTGGGAAAGAACATACCTGGAAAGCATGTGTAATCTATTTAAAACAAAGCTTGCCGGTGTCCTGTAGCTAACATTTTGAGATTTTAATGTTTGTAAAACAATCTGAAGCTGATTGAAATAAATACTAATGACTACTTTTGCATCTGTATTCTATTTTTGAAAGTTGGTGAGTAACTTTAAAATTTCCATTTGTGTGGGTAAACTTCATAAAACATAGTTGTATGTGGCAGGTGGCAGAAAAACTGACTTGCTTTGAGCACAGCTTTCCTGGATTTCCCTCTACTAATTTTTCT